TCCAGCCACCTGGCCCTCAAGTGCTGTTCCAACGCTCGTTGGGATGTCGGCAATTGGGTTTTGATCTTCCCTGGTTTCCAATGCCGCCACTTGTTGGCCACTGCCAGGACATCCGGGGCCTCAATCGATCCGGAGAGGATCCACTCCTCGCGGTCCCGGATGGCCTGCTCCATTTCCAGTGGAGAATAGGTGTGCGATTGTCTGGCGCCTGCCGCACGAAACAGAAGTTGTTGCAGGGTCTTAGTAGCGAGCTCCAAATCCGCCTCCTCCAGCGGTTGTGGTTGGGAGCCGAGTATCCTTGCGAGGATCAAGTTGTAGGTGTCCGAGGCCACCAGGACATGGTTGCCGTCAGGTGCCAGCCCCACGATTCGTGTCCACGGTCGCGGGTCAAAGACCACCGCATCCGGGTTGGCAACCTGGTCCTTTTTGACCCATTCCAGGCAGCACGCCACGAGGATTTCCCCGTCCGACTGCACTGGTGCAAATCCAAGGTCATGCAAAATCAACTGGAACGCGGTTGGTACCCCAAGGAAGGTCGTTCCAAACGGGGAGGGGAGGCGGGGCCTCCACATCATCGTGATCCACTCGAGCCAGGAGCCTAATTCCTAGGCGCAAACCCCAACCAAACAACAGGGGAGCCCCCAAAAACCCCGGAAAGCCCATCCCGAAACGGGGGAAAAAGGGGGGGGGGACCCAGGGAGCCGCCCCGGAAAGGGAAGAACCAAACAAGGGAGGGGAGCCAAGGCGCACCCCGGACCAGCCCAAGCGCGCCAATTTTTCTCGCCTGGTACAGGTCTAGGCCTGTGCTGTGCCCAGGGGGGGATATCAGCGCCTTCGGCAGCTGTCCCCCCCGGGGTGCGCTGCGAATCCGTTCCGGATGGCCGCAGTGCTGTATGATCATACGGCCCCCTTTGCAATGTCATCAATGCGCTTGAGCGCCGCCGCCTCCGGATTCCGGAGAATCAGCTCCCAGATGGCGTTTGAAACGTGGCCGGTCTGGGTGACGTGGCTGAACCTAAACCGGGGGACTTTCTGGTCCACCACGGAGACATCCCGCAGCGGGGCCGAGGGCTCTACCCGGCGGTAGAACTCCAACCGCTCCTTGACCCAGCGGTTGTACAGGCCCTCCGGCGGCTCGTCCAGCACCAGCTGAAGGATGGCCTTGCCGGCCCGGATCTGGAGGAGGCGGGTGCCCCCTCCCCCGGCGCGCCAGTACCCCTTGCAGTACTTGCACATGTAGCCCCCCCGGGTCTCCCCTTTGGTCTTCGGGATGAGTTCCCACGGGGTGACGGAGCTCAGGACCAGGCCACACTCCATGTGCGCCCAGAAGACATGCTTCGTCTCCGCCGGATAGTTCTTCTTCCGGTAGTCCTTGCCCACCACGCCGTGGACGTTGTCCGATGTGATGGGGGGGTAAACGATCCCCTCATCGCCCTCTCCTCCCCTGGGGCGGATGTCAGGGCCATCGGCACCTGTCCGGCACCCAGGGGCGGAGGGGTCAAGGCCCATCAGCTTGATCATGTCGTTGGTGTAGCCGAGCTTGCGGTAGATGGAGGGGGCTACTGAGTCGGGGACTGCGCCGACCCACCACTGCTTCGTGTTGCAGCGCCAATTGACCTTCACCTCCGCCAGGGCCCCCGGGCCTCCAATGCGGTCCATGAGGGCCTTGTACACCTCTGGGAACTGCTGGAGACTCTCCACCGGGACAGATATGCGCTCATCACATACCGCCCGGAGGATCATCTGTTCCTTGGAGTCCGCCACGTCCTGGACCGGGAGCTGCATCACCTCCGCCGGGGTGTCCGTGAGGAAGGCCCGGGCCGCGAGGACCTTGCCCATGGCCCGGTAGACCAACCGCCACTCCGGTCCTGTCTGCGGAAATGGAAGGCCCTCCTCCTTCAGGAAGCACCGCGCGTCTTCCTTCAGGGTCTCCCAGCCCTCCAGGCGGATCTGATTCTGGGCCTTGTTCTTCGGGCCCCGCTGCCTAGGGCCCTGTAACAGTGGCAGGGACTCCCAGACTCCCCAGAGCTGGCGCAGGGTGAAGCTGTGACCAAACATCCCCAGTAAGCCTGGAAGTGTCCAGGACGAGATCTGGCGCGCCCAGTGGAAGTCCTCATCCGGATCGTGGGGGGCCGCCCAGAAGATGGAACGCAGGTCCTCGGGGTAGGGTCGGTCCCCCGCCTTAGCCTGCTGGTTCAACTCATCAACGGAGTACCTGGCCCATGGGAGTCCACCCGCCTGGTGGTTCCTGGGGTGCGTACCCCTCTCCAGCGCCTCCGGATTCACCTTGGTGAGGTTGTTGGCCCAGTCCGGGGCAAAGATACGGACCTCTCCGACCCGTTTGCTCATCATCCAGCGCAGGACCGCGAGCTGCACCTCCGGGTCCTGGGTATCCAGGCCCCCTGGGGTGGCAGACGGCTTGTCAGGGCCCTCGGCACCTGAGCTCGTCGCGCCAGAGCCCGAGGCTGGGGGGATGGTGGGCTGCCTGTCAGGGCCCTCGGCACCTGGGCGCGCCGCACCAGAGCCCCCCGCCTTTGGAATGGGGATCCCCGCCAGATCCGGCAGATCTGCCAGGAGGGCCGCCGGAAAGGGGTTCCTACCCAGCGAGATGACCGCCTTGGCTTCGAGGTAAGAGTCCGTGAGGGACGTGAGGTCGTCCATGCTGAAATCCCTCCATGCCGTGGTCGGCTCAAAGACCCCCGTCTCAATGGCAACTCGGACCTCGTTAGGCCACGCACTGAATGGGGCTTGATGGGCTCAAGCATTCTGGTCTCGTGGGCGCCCTTCGCTTGTCTGGCCTGGTGCTTTGCCTTCGCCTCCTCCGCAGTGGTCTGGGCCTGGAGGAGCTCCGGTGTGGGCCTCCCCCAGTCCGCGCCCAGCTTATCCAGCAGTTTTTCCCGGAAAAGGTCCAAGTCCAAATTCTTGAGGAGTAGGCCCCCATCGCCTCCTCCATCAATGGCCCCTCCTTGAAGCTCGTGGAGGACCGCCGCGGATCGCTCCACCGCTGCCACCTGGTCTGCCTTCTTGGCCTCCTCCTGGGCAATGGTGGTGGCGTTGAGCCGGGTCTGGATTTTGAAAGCCTTCACCGCCGACGGGTGGAAGGCCCTGCATTCCTGGCCCTCTTCCTTGTCGCCCGGCAATGGAGGCCTCTCCCCCATTGGGGCCGTCAGGAAATCCTCGTCCAGCTCCATGGGGCAGTTTCTGATCACCGCCCGGACCGAGGAGGGGACAAAGTCCGAGAAGCTTGCCTGGTCCGGGTTCTCGCATGCCATCGGGTCGGTGGCCAGCTCGCTGACATCCACCGAGGCGCTGAGCTTGAGGTCGCGGGCCCGGTCCCAGGGCCATCGGCACCTGCGGAGGCCGCCGTCCAGACCGCATTGCCCTGGTCATCCACCGTCAACTGCCAGTGCGTGCCCGCCATCTCCAGGGTGGCCGAGTTGGTCGCCATGTCAATGGGCTCCGTCTTCTTGCCGCACCCCATACACTTCCTGGCGCCCTTCTTCACCCAGGGCATGGTGCAGCAGGGGCAGATCCAGGATGTGGGCTCCTTACCCAGGGGCGGTTCTCCAGGCCCCCATACCCCAGGCCAGCGCGCTTGCCGACCTGCTGTCCCGGGGTGCTGAGCCGGGCCTCATGCTCATACTTCATCTTGGCGATGTAGAACGCCTCCACCACACGCTCCAGGCCCCCCTGCTTGAGTTGGGGGCCCTCAAAGCCTCTCAGGAGCCGCTGGACGTCCTTGGCCTGCAGTCGGCGGAGCCTAGTGGCCGTGGTCGCATCAAAACACGGGAAGTCGCCCGCCATCTGGTCATCGCTGAATTGGTAAAGGCCCTCAGAGACTTTGAGGGCCTTGGTGAAGACGCTTCCCCCCGGCGGGGGGGCTGCGGGGTCCTCATCCTCCTCCGAGGACGCCTGCTCCCTGACCTTCGCCATCAGATCACGGCGTCTCTGCCACTTGGTGTCGGACATCGGGAGCTCCTCCTCGTCTTCCGCCAGGAGTTCTTCCATGGGAACATCCTTCTCCGGCGGGTTTAGGAGCTCCAGGAACGCCCCTGGGGGGCGTGTCAGGGCCTTCGGCACCTGCGCCACCCCAGGGGCTGAGTCTGCCATCAACTCGTCCTCTGCCTTGCGCTTGGCTGGGATGAGTGGGGCCTGCTCCAGCTCATCGGCGCTGGAGAAGAACCGCTCGTCAGGTGCCTGGGGGACCTCAGCAGCCAAGACGGTCCATCCTTCTTCCTCCTTCTTCACGAGGCTTGCCAGGTACTTCGCCATGGAGGCCTTTGCCTTCGCCTTGGCCTCTGCAACCGCGGCACCAGCGTAGGCGGGGGCGTACATGGCTTTGATAGGAGGGGAAAGAAAGATTTCAGATTACAAGACAGAAGGTCAGAGTCCACTTGAGCCAAAATGGTGGCCCAAGTGGACACTTATGAAGAGTCAAGACAAGCGACCACCTGCGGTTAACGCTTTAGCCCACTTTGGCTTTGCCGTATTCGCCAAGCTTCACATACTCATCCGGCGACACGCAGGAAACAAGGGACCCAACCACATCAGCAAAATGGGGAGAACAACGGAAAAACCACCAAATTGATCGAAAACGGGGCCACCAAGTCAAACAACGCGCTGAGAAGTCAAAAGAATAAAGGGTATATAACCTTTGTGAGGCGCGGTCAAGCAGTGCATTCATTGTCAAAGATGCCTCAAACCGATTGGCAAAGTAAAAAATGCATGACCCCAGGTCCCGGGATCATATCAGTTCTCGGTTCAGTCCTCTTCATTGGGCAACCGACTGCACTGGGGGGTTGCCCCCCTGCTGATGAGAGTGAAACTCCTTCGGACGGCGTCCACACGCAGACACACACACACACACACACTGGGAATTGCACGCAACTTGGAAGGCCAGGTGATTATACACGCGCACACCCACACACATGCACACAGCGCGCATACCCCGGATGGCCTTAGACACACCCGCACAAAGCAAACGCCCGGCCCGCGGATGCCTGGCACGATCATGACCCGTGAGCTCGCAGAAGGCGCCCGGCAACTCCTCAGAGATCTTCCGCCGCACCTGAGACGCGATGTCTTCAAGAGAAAAAAGTGGGATGGAGATGTCAACAGTTTTTGGGGACGAGTTCGGCACTGGGGTTCTTGGAGTTGAGGCTTGAGGAGGGCTGGCTCTGATGTGTTTTGGGTTGCGATTGTGGGGCCAGTTTCAGTGGAGTGGTCGGCTTTCCAGGCTGGACCGTACTCGTTCCAGCATGGAAAGATGTATCTTGAAATCGCACATCCTGACGCACGCCGAGATGTGCACTGGGTCTATTGAAGCGACATCCTCTGAATCAAGTTGGTTTGAAGGAGAACCGCCACCAACTGCGCGCAGGGCAATTCTGGCGCAAATTCCATCGATGGCACATGGACCAAGGGCCAACCTCCCGGGTCTTTCTCAGCCGAGCCGCGTCTGGGGGGATGAACTCCTGAAGAGAAAAGGTAGACTCGGGCCGCCCTGTTCAAACCGATTGAATACCTCAAATAATCTTGTGCTTGGTTCCCTGTCGGGGCCCAGGGTTTGGTGTTAACCACGTCGCCCAACCCTGGGACAAAGAAACGGCGGGCTTGTTCGACAAAGGGGCCTCGCGGCCTCCGCAGAAAACAGCTCAACACATGTTTGCAGAAAAATGCCCTTCCTACGAGACCAAAGGAGGTCATCCCTGTGTCTTGTCACTTTAAAGTGGCTCTCTCGGTATCACAGAAAGTGGCCTCCAAAACCTATTAGAGTGCCAAGAGCAGTGCGCATCCGTCCTGTGGGCACTTGTTTCGCGCCCCATATCTTGGTGTGGAGATCAGCGTCCACACCTCCCGATGCATTTCCCCATCTTTCGGCATTGTAAGCTTGGCGAAGTACTTGGGACAGGGAAACCGTCAAAGTAGGTGGTGTCCTTTTGGTTCCCCTTTCAAAACAACCCGACAAAGGGTACCCTAATGGAAACACACACACACACACATGGGTCCATCATCCACCCTTTAAATCTGTGCACATGAGTCATCTGACCTGCAATTCAAAAGCAACAACGACTTGAGGTGTTCCGTCAAGTGAAATAGAAATGGGAGCTCGCTAATATATCTCAGCATATTCGTTCAACTCGGATTCATCCCGCGACTGAGTGAGTTACATCAGTGATCGCTGATGCCCACCATGTTCAACCAGCCTCAAGGTCGCGACAGCTGTACTTGTACTTCCAACTAGAACCACCCGCTTCTGCAACATCCACAACATCCAAGATTACGAACGTGAAGGGCACCATTGGTACCCAAAGGGAATCCCACGTTCGTGCGAAGGAATCTCCCGTGAAGGCATAGCCTTCTCCATTCATGTCCCCTTGATCAGTGTCAACGGTAACCACAGGCTGGGAAGGAGGAGTGGGCTAACCTTAGGTGATTCAGTCGCTGGGGTACTCTTATAGCCTTGGCTACCAGTAGAAGATTTGTGTACTGCTCGCTTGCTGTGTTGAGTCAATGGGGCACTCCTGTGCTTGGATGTCCAACAAACTTGGCAGGTCAGAACCATGGTAAAAGTTATAATATGTCCACTACCCCCCTTAGAAGTATGGCTGCAGCCTACCCTCCCTCTAACATGGAACCTCACTGGGGGATCCTCCGGCCGGCTTCGCCAAGGCTGTACGAGCCTGGACATCGGCCTCGCCGGCTGGATACCTCGGGTACGGGCCAATGGGTGATGTCGACCCTGGATTCAGCGTCCATTCAACTCAAAAATTGACCTCGAAAGGAAACCATTGCTTCAGAAGGAAACCATCCGGTTCCCAAAGTACTCCCAATGTCTTTCAAGGAATGTCGACCCAAAATTCAGAACTGCGGATTGATGCGTCCCCCAACACTCCCGAAAATCAATTTGTCAACCAAGGGTCATTCATCCGGGGAAGCAGGTGACAAGCGGCAAGGTGGGTGCTCCAAGGCCACACCTTTCCAGGTGCCGTTTTTTCAACATGCCATCCACATCCAACCCAAAGCGGCTCCGTCTTTCGAAAGCCAAGCCTGTTTTTGTTGACCTCCGTTTTGCCTTTGGGCTCATGGGCTCACAGGGGTCGGGCCAAAGCGAAGGCCCCCCCAAACAAAAATATCCAGGGGGTTGTATACAGAACACTCTCCCATCGCTCAGCCCCCTTCAGCTGAGCGGCTTTGCAGAGTTGTTTCCGACCCAGCTCAAGACCTTGTGGCAGTGGGAATTGCCCACATCTGTGATACCACTCAAAGGCAATCCCAATGACAAATTCTTCACAAGGGTGGCTCCATGGTATCAGAAATGAGCACAAACCCTGCCTGATGGTCGTCTACAAAGGCTCCGTCGAAGGGGACCTTCGTCTCTCCTGCAGCACCGTGCCGCGCCACCAGAATCGCGATTGCAAACGAGGTCTGGCGGGACACAAATCATGAAAAGCGTTAAAGGGGCTGACATGTGTAAGGAGAGAGAGATTAAAACCAACCGGTGGTAACTCCAATCTGCCGAAACATCAAGTGGCAGAAGGGTTAAACACAAGGTGCCTGCAAACCGACACTTCCCCTTTGGAAATCACCTGCCTACGGCGGAGGAAATCCTCTTAACTTGGCTCAAAGGTGATGTACACTGGAACCGCCTCGAAACCCTGCTCGCTGGGAAAGAGCCATGCGGCCCATGTGACAAGTTTTCGTGGCGCCAAACTGGCATGTCCCAAAGGAAGAACCGCTTTGCTTTACCTGTTTAAACCATCCAAAAGTTTTGAAAGGAGGTCGCCAATTTGGAGACAAAGAGGGGTCTCCCCGAAATTAGGGCGGATCTAATGGCAACCAGTGCCTGTGGCCACGGCTGTCTCCCATGATTCGACACATTGTGTCCTTCTTGGTCTGCCATGGCAAGTGGGCAACGTGGGTGTGACGGGTTTAATTGGAAAACCAAAAGGGAAAACCACGCGTTCTAGGGTTCCCATATTTGAGACACAGACATGCCGACCTGCAGAAATGCTCAAGCTTGCCATAATCGACGCACTTGACCTCACGCTGAGACCGCCACCCGCCACAGATAGAACCTCGGACATGGATTGGCTACACGGATGGCTTGTGCCCAGCACCCAACCCACCTCCATTCACCGAAGGATCTCGCTTTTTGGACAGGAGAGGTTCCGTGGGTGTTACAGAAGTGGTTGGCTAGCCAACCACCCGTTCAATTCTGATTGATCGACCTTCCAAAACCAAGACGAAAGGATACCCAACTCTGAGGAAACCCCGGAACTGGTCCATGATTCCCAAGGTAAACCTAAAAACATTTCGCTTTTAAACAGACATATCTTTTTGGGAAAAGGACTTCTTTTTGTGTTTCTTCCGTTCATTTGCAGGGAAGTAAACAACCAGACCCGATGCGGTCTCCTTTTAAGGGAAATGCGCTGACACCGAAAGGGGGCTGGTTCAACAACAGTTATTTGCCGGCAGGGTTACGGGGTGTACTTCACCTTCAAACATCACCCCCCCTCCAAAAAAAGCGATTCAAACTACCACCCAAAGAAAGGGAACTTCTGGGACTTCTGGGTAACCTTCCCAAGGTCGTGCCCCTTGGATGCCGGCACAGACCCACAGCGAGTTCAGCTCCTCGGCTGCGAATGATCCGTTTGGAGGTTGTCAAGGACCAAAAGAAAACCAACCATCTTGGTGGTGCAGGTGCCCCAAGAGGTGGGAGAATTGGGTCTGAACTCCTGATCTTCTGTGGGAAATATCCTCCCCAAACAAGAAACAAAAAAAAAGACTTCTAGCATTTTTGTTTGATGCTCATTGGTGTTTTAGAATTGCTGGTTTGGAGGCTAGCGGGTTCCCATTTACCGTCAACAAGGGGAGGCCCAAATACCGAACCAGCAATCCGAACACCCCATTGAAGGTTGTCTGATGTTGTGCTTTTTGTTTGGACGCCAGTAAAAACTTACCCTAACAGCTGCTTCCAATTCTAGCACACCGCTTTGTGATTTAGACATGCGCAAGCAAAGCAGACACAAACACTCTCTCACTGCATCTCGCTGCAGACCAAGACTCCAGTCGATCCGAGGTGGGAGATGCTGCTTCCTGGCCCGAAAATCGGCCAAACACCCATCTATGTGGTCATCCAGGCGATGTGATACACTCAGGCAGATTTCAATGAAACCCAAACATCCGCCAATGTTAGAGGATTCTCCTTTAGGCGGCCGTTTTGTGGGGCTCCATGTTGAAGCTTGAAGATGGCAAACCATCGATGGCAGCCCTTCAACAAGTGGATGTTTCAAAATTAGGTCCCTTTGGCGGTTGGCTTCCTTTTGTTTCCCGCACCAGAAGTTTAAGCAAGGGGTCCGGCTCCAAGCAATTCGTGCGTGTTTTTGAGGACCCCGAAACGGTGTTTTTGTGTTTTCCCTTTGGCTTTCCCTTTGAATCTACCCCCACGGGCACCCTCAGACAGACCCAGCTCCCCCCACGCCCCGCGGGAGCGATCGCTCCGCCGCCTTGAAGGCGCAGCGCAGCGGGGCGTGCAGCACGGTCTCGCGCCCGGCGGTGCGGATGAGGCGATCTGCGCACTTCCCGTTGTGGGCCATGACCACCTCGGGCCACGTGTCGGTAAGGGTAAGTCTCAAAGGGCTAAGGGGCACATTTCAAGAGGGGGGGGAGAATCCCAAGAGGCCTCCCCTGGGTTCAAGGGGAACTTGAAACTTGAAGGGCTCAAAGGAAATCAACGCTTGGCCAAGACGCAAAGGAGTAGGCCGTTTGGCCGATTTGATGCCCCTTCTGGTCCTTCAAGATCCAGCCGCCGTTGCTGTCCAGGCGCGCCACCCACACATCTGGTCAGGGAGCGCTGCAGCCATCCGGAGGAAACAAACATGATTCTGAGAGATCCAACAACTGCAGACGTTTTCAAGTGGTTTCTTTTGATCAGGGGGTGTCCCGTCGGATCACTTTTGGGGGTGTTGCGCTCGCTCATTCATCAACCTTGTACTCAAATCTGGGGTCGACGTTGAACCAACCCCGAAATCCGCCGACAACAGACGGCGTGTTGGACACAAAAAATGCTCCTTGCCTCTTTACTTCGGGGGGGGGGGGGGTCCACGTACCACGCGGTGATTTGAAGACGCTTCACTAAATCTGTTCATTGCGCGGTTTGTCAAAAACATTGGGGTGTTCGATTCCCCCCGCGTGCGCTTTCGCATCCTTAGCAGCTCCAGCGGCACATCGCCAGCATCACCTGCTTCATCCGCATCAGCGCCTGCCAAGGATGCGGATGATGCAAGTGATGCTGGGGATGTTGCCCATGCTGGTGAAGGCAATGAAGGGGGGAAAGGGGGAAAGGATCTCAACAGCGAAAGGGGGGGAAAGATCTCAGGGAGGAAAGGGAGAAGATCTGGGGAAAAAATGCCTTAAGGGGGAAAGGGGGGAAAAGATCTTTGGGAGGAAAAGGGAAATCTTTCTCGGGGGGAACAGGCCCTAAGGGGCAATCGGGGGACAGGATCTCAATCGGGAAAGGGGGAAAAAGACCTTGGGAAGAGAAGGGTGGAGATCTTGGGGGGAAAAGGCCTTAGGGAAAGGATCTTAAGCGGGAAGGGGGGAAAAGATCTTAGGGAGGCAAAGGGAGACGAACTCGGGGAAAAGGACTTAGGGAGGAAAGGGGGGGAAAGATCTTTGGGAGGAAAAAGGAGAAGAACTGAGGGTGGGAAAAGGCCTTAGAAGGAAAAGGGGGGAAATAAATGATCTCAACAAGGAACTGGGGGGGGAGGAAAGATCTTAGGGAGGAAAGGCAGAAGATCTGGGGAAAAAAGGCCTTAGGGAAGAAAGGGGGGAAATGATCTCAACAGGGAAAGGGGTGGAAAAGATCTTAGGGAGGAAAGGGAGAAGATCTGGGGAAAAAAGGCCAACAGGGAAAGGGGGGAAAAGATCTTCTCTCAGGGGGGGAAAGGCCTTGGGAGGGAAAGGGGGGAAAGGATCTCAACAGGGAAAGGGTGGGAAAGATCTTAGGGAGGAAAGGGGGGGGGGGGAAGATCTTAGGGAGGAAAGGGAGAAGATCTGGGAGAAAAGGACTTAGGGGGGAAAGCCCAACAGGGAAAGGGGGGAAAAGATTTAGGAAGGAAAAGGGAGAAGCTCTCAGGGGGGGGAAAGGCCTTAGGGGGAAAAGGATCTCAGCAGGGAAAGGGGGGGGGGGGAAGATCTTAGGGAGGAAAGGGAGAAGATCTGGGGACAAAGGCCTTAGGGGGGAAAGGGGAGAAATGATCTCAACAGGGAAAGGGGTGGAAAAGATCTTAGGGCGGAAAGGGAGAAGATCTGGGAGAAAAAAGGCCAACAGGGAAAGGGGGGAAAGATCTAAGGAAGGAAAAGGGAGAAGCTCTCAGGGGGGGGGAAAGGCCTGAGGGGGGAAGGGTGGGAAGGATCTCAACAGGGAAAGGGGGGAAACAATCTTAGGAAGGAAAGGGAGAAGATCTGGAAAGGCCTTAAAGGGAAGGGGGGAAAGGATCTCAACAGGGAAAGGGGGCAAAGGATCTTAAGGAGGAATAGGAAGAAGATCTCAGCGGGGGGAAAGGCCGTAGGGGGGAAAGAGGGGAAAGGATCTCAACAGGGAAAGGGGGGGAAAGATCTCAGTGAGGAAAGGGAGAAGGTCCCAGGCAGGGAAAAGGCCTTAGGGGGGAAAGGGGGAAAGGATCTCAACAGGGAAAGGGGGCAAAGGATCTTAGGGAGGAAAAGGGAGAAGATCTGAAAAGGCCTTAGGGGGAAAAGGGGGAAAGGAGCTCAACAGGGAAAGGTGGGAGAAGATCCTAGGGAGGAAAAGGGAGAAGATCTCGGGGGAAAAGATCTTGGGGAGGACAAGGGAGAAGATCTCAGGGGGGGGAAGGCCTTAGGGGGGAAAGGGGGGAAAGGATCTCAACAGGGAAAGGGGGCAAAGGATCTTAGGGAGGAAAAGGGAGAAGATCTTGGGGGGGAAAACGCCTTAGGGGGGAAAGGGCGGGAAAGGATCTCAACAAGGAAAGGGGGGAAAAGATCTTAGGAAGGAAAAGGGGGAAGATCGCAGGGGGAAAAAAGGCCTTAGGGGGGAAAGGAGGGAAAGGATCTCAACAGGGAGAGGGGGGAAAACATCGTAGGGAGGAAAAGGGAAAAACTCAGAGGGAGAAAGGGCCTTAGGGGGGAAAGGGGGAATGGATCTCAACAGGGAAAAATGGCAAAAGATCTTAGGGAGGAAAAGGGAGAAGATCTCAGGGGGGGAAAGGCCTTAGGGGGGAAAGGGGGGAAAGGATCTGGGCAGGGAAGGGGGGGAAAGATCTTAGGGAGGAAAGGGAGAAGATCTGGGGGCAAAGGCCTTAGGGGGGGAAAGGGGAGAAATGATCTCAACAGGGAAAGGGGTGGAAAAGATCTTAGGGAGGAAAGGGAGAAGATCTGGGGGAAAAAAGAGGGGGGAAAGATCCAAGGAAGGAGAAGGGGGAAAGGCCTCAGGGGGAAAGGGTGGGAAGGATCTCAACAGGGAAAGGGGGGAAACAATCTTAGGAAGGAAAGGGGGGGGGGAAAATCTTAGGGAGGAAAGGGAGAAGATCTGGGAGAAAAGGACTTAGGGGGGGAAGCCCAACAGGGAAAGGGGGGAAAAGATCTTAGGAAGGAAAAGGGAGAAGCTCTCAGGGGGGGGAAAGGCCTTGGGAGGGAAAGGGGGGAAAGGATCTCAACAGGGAAAGGGTGGGAAAGATCTTAAGGAGGAAAGGGGGGGGAAGATCTTAGGGAGGAAAGGGAGACGATCTGGGAGAAAAGGACTTAGGGGGGAAAGCCTAACAGGGAAAGGGGGGAAAGATCTTCGGAAGGAAAAGGGAGAAGCTCTCAGGGGGGGGGAAGGCCTTAGGGGGGAAAGGGGGAAAGGATCTCAGCAGGGAAAGGGGGGGGGGGAAAGATCTTAGGAAGGAAAAGGGAAAAGATCTGGAAAGGCCTTAAAGGGAAGAAGGGAAAGGATCTCAACGGGGAAAGGAGGCAAAGGATCTTAAGGAGGAGTAGGGAGAAGATCTCAGCGGGGGGAAAGGCCTTAGGAAGGAAAGGAGGGAAAGGATCTCAAAAGGGAAAGGGGGGAAAGATCTCAATGAGGAAAGGGAGAAGATCCCAGGCGGGGAAAAGGCCTTAGGGGGGAAAGGGGGAAAGGATCTCAACAGGGAAAGGGGGCAAAGGATCTTCGGGAGGAAAAGGGAGAAGATCTGAAAAGGCCTTAGGGGGAAAAGGGGGAAAGGAGCTCAACAGGGAAAGGTGGGAGAGGATCCTAGGGAGGAAAAGGGAGAAGATCTCGGGGGGAAAGGGGGAAAGGATCTCAACCAAGGGAAAAGATCTTGGGGAGGACAAGGGAGAAGATCTCAGGGGTGGAAAGGCCTTAGGGGGGAAAGAGGGGAAAGGACCTCAACAGGGAAAGGGGGCAAAGGATCTTAGCAAGGAAAAAGGAGAAGATCTTGGGCGGGAAAACGCCTTAGGGGGGAAAGGGCGGGAAAGGATCTCAACAAGGAAAGGGGGGAGAAGATCTTAGGAAGGAAAAGGGGGAAGATCGCGGGGGGAAAAAAGGCCTTAGGGGGGAAAGGAGGGAAAGGATCTCAACAGGGAGAGGGGGGAAAACATCGTAGGGAGGAAAAGGGAAAAACTCAGAGGGAGAAAGGGCCTTAGGGGGGAAAGGGGGAATGGATCTCAACAGGGAAAGGTGGCAAAAGATCTTAGGGAGGAAAAGGGAGAAGATCTCAGGGGGGGAAAGGCCTTAGGGGGGAAAGGGGGGAAAGGATCTGAGCAGGGAAAGGGGGGGAAAGATCTTGGGGAGGAGAAGATCTGGGAGCAAAGGCCGTAGGGGGGAAAGGGGAGAAATTGATCCCAACAGGGAAAAAAGGGAAAGGATCTTAGGGAGGAAAAGGGAGAAGATTTGAAAAGGCACTTAGGAGGAAAAGGGGGAATGAGCTCAACAGGGAAATGTGGGAGATAGTCCTAGGGAGGAAAAGGGAGAAAGATCTTGGGGGGAAAGGGGGAAAGGATCTCACACCAAGGGAAAAGATCTTGGGGAGACAAGGGAGACGATCTCGGGGGGGGAGAAGATCTCAGGGGGGGGAAGGCCTTAGGGGGGAAAGGGGGGAAAGGATTTCAACAGGGAAAGGGGGCAAAGGATCTTAGGGAGGAAAAGGGAGAAGATCTTGGGGGGGAAAACGCCTTAGGGGGGAAAGGGCGGGAAAGGATCTCAACAAGGAAAGGGGGGAAAAGATCTTAGGAAGGAAAAGGGGGAAGATCGCGGGGGGAAAAAAGGCCTTAGGGAAAAAGGAGGGAAAGGATCTCAACAGGGAGAGGGGGGAAAACATCGTAGGGAGGAAAAGGGAAAACTCAGAGGGAGAAAGGGCCTTAGGGGGGAAAGGGGGAATGGACCTCAACAGGGAAAAATTGCAAAAGATCTTCGGGAGGAAAAGAAAAAAGATCTCAGGGGGGGAAAGGCCTTAGGGGGGAAAGGGGGGAAAGCATCTGAGCAGGGAAAGGGGGGGAAAGATCTTAGGGAGGAAAGGGAGAAGATCTGGGGGCAAAGGCCTTAGGGGGGAAAGGGGAGAAATGATCTCAACAGGGAAAGGGGTGGCAAAGATCTTAGGGAGGAAAGGGAGAAGATCTGGGGGAAAAGGCCTTAGGGGGGAAAGGGGAGAAATGATCTCAACAGGGAAAGGGGTGGAAAAGATCTTAGGGAGGAAAGGGAGAAGATCTGGGGGAAAAAAGGCCAACAGGGACAGGGGGGAAAGATCTAAGGAAGGAGAAGCTCTCAGGGGGGGAAAGGCCTCAGGGGGAAAGGGTGGGAAGGATCTCAACAGGGAAAGGGGGA